GATATAATAATATAATAATAATATAAATGATATATATAATACAATATAAATTAATATAATCCAAATAATGTAATATAAATAATAACATAAATAAATAATACATATTATACATACATACATATTATATATTTATTTATAATATATGATATAATATAATAATATGTATAATAATATAATAATAATATATATAATATAATCCAAATAATGTAATATAAATAATAACATAAATAAATAATACATATTATACATACATACATACATATTATATATATATTTACAATATATGATATAATATAATAATATGTATAATAATATAATAATAATATATATAATATAATAATAATATATATAATATAATATAAATTAATATAATCCAAATAATATAATATAAATAATAACATAAATAAATAATATAACATAAATTAATATAATCCAAACAATATAACATAAATAATAACATAAATAAATAATATAACATAAATTAATATAATCCAAATAATATAACATAAATAAACAATATAACAAATTAATATAATCTAAATAATATAACATAAATAATAACATAAATAAATAATAACATAAATAAATAATATAACATAAATTAGTATAATCCAGAGAAAAAAATTACATCAAGGTAAAGGTCAATTTTGCTGCAGATACACCGCGTGTATTCTCATCAAGCCGAAGGTGTAGAATTCATCTACGATAGCCAAACTTTCCTCTCCACTCTGTAGCACAGTACACGACAAATAGATATCTCCTTGCTCGATCCAAAGGCAGAAAAATCGCCTTCTCCAACCTTCTTCAACCCCCTTTGTCTTCCACACGCGCCCCCTCCGCCGCTCTCACTTTCGTCGCAATATTTGCATTGTTCCGGCGTAGCTTCGAGCGCAGAAGGTCCTCGAGTTCTCTCCTCCCCGTTTCCAGCGAACCGTCACGAGACGGAGTCGCTGCTGCCCCCTCCCAACCCTCCCCCTGTCCCTCGTAAATCCATTTATTTATTTATTTATGTGCCACGGGAACCGGATGGCCGGATGGGGGAAGGAGGGAGGGGGGGGGGACGCGCAGGCGAGGCTTATACCGGGGCGTGCATCGAACCGGGATTCCCGTGGGACCGTAAGGGACGGGGAGATCGCAAAAGTCACGGAGGACGCGCGTGGATATTCCGCGTAGGTTGACGCGCTGTGCCGCGCCGGCAGAAGTAAATTCTCCAGAGGCAACGTGGGCTGAAACGAAAATGCTGTTGTGCCACTTAGACCGACAGAGGAGGGGGATAAAGAAAAAAAAAAAAAAAAGAAAAGAACGTATCTTAGCCGAGCTAACGTATGTACGTGCGTACGAGGTGTGTGTGAAAAGTAATGAGACTGATTTCTGTTCTCGAAATCTGGCCGTGAGATGTACAAATCCTACTCTATCTCCAGTATAAGTTTTCAGTTCGATTGAGTCAACGCAAGCGATTCGGCAGCAAGTTTTGTAAGAGTACGTTCTAGTACGAGGCAGCGTTATGCGTTTAAATTTTGCGTGAAACTGAAAGAGAACGCAAGAACAGAAACATTCGATAAATCGAAACTGGCTTACGGTGATCAAGTTTTATTCAGAGCACAAGTTTTCAAATGGTACAAGGCATTTTTGAATGTCCGTGAAATTCGTCGAAGGCGAAGCTCAAAAACTGATGAAAATGTCGAGAAAGTGGAGACTCTGGTTAGATCTGATCGTCGCTTGACAGTTAGAATGATTGGTAGCGAATTAAATTTAAATCATCGAACTGTTCACGACATTCTGACCCGATCACAACAGTTTGGGTATGAGAAAAATTTGTGCGAAGATGGTTCGAAAGAATCTCAGAAGGAGACAGGCAAATATTGTGGTAGTGGTTTACCATAGATAGTTATATATTGTGGAATGAATATACATAATGTTTGTGTGCATATAATTGTGGTGTGGTGTGATCTGAGTGTTTGATATATTTCATGGCAGAAGAAAGAACGAATGAGAGAGATGTATGTTAGAACAATTGAGAGACATGATGACGAGAAACAATTGTGATAGGAAAGATCCCCCGATACAAAGCATGAGAGACGAGATAGAGAGTGAATCGATGAGAGTTAAACATTATACGTGTTTCGTAATTTATATTAAATCTATCATTAATCAGTGTGTTTGTAATCCACTAACAAATCTGTGTATGTGTGTGTGTGTGTGTGTGGACCTCCTTAAATGGATAGAAACTGAATCAAATCCCCAGATTTCAGTCCACGTGACTTTTCTCTTTCCAAAGATAAAAAAATCACTTCAAGGGTCGTTGTTTTTCGTAATCATAATCGTTGAACCGTAATCATCATTCAGAAGTTTGTGACCGATCAATTGAAAGCAGATTTCAATAGAAGAGATCCAGCATCGTTATTAGGAAAAGGAGCAACGCCTACGAAGGTGTATAGCTTCTCAAGGGAAGCATTACGCTCGAGATAATGTAAATTTATCAATAAGTGAAATATAAACATTTTTATAAAACCAGTCACGTTACTTTTTAGACGCATCTTGTCTACGTTGTCTTCCTTTGCCCTTCGTTACAATCGTCTACGCGATTTCTGCACCTGATTCCCTCGTCTTTCGAGTTCTTCTTACGTTCTTTCATGAATATTTAAGAGATCTCGTCTTTTTCTTGGGGGGGCTAATGCTTTGGTACATTGCGTCGTTTCGAATATATTAGTATACGCTGGTCCTGCATGCGTTCTTAGGTGAAATTTAAACGCGGGGAAATATTCGAAATATTTAGCAATATTTAATTTACAATAGATACGATACTTGTTGGAAGCGAAACGATTTGGAGATTGTTCCAAGGCAGATGCTGCTATTTAGTTTTCCATGATTTATGATTCGAACCGGGTCTCCCAGTAAATTTGGGAAATCCTAGGAAATGTTATAAGAAAAAGAGGATCCGAGCGTGGAGTGGAGAGGGTGACAAAGTCCTCTTCTGGTAAGAGGACTGTGTTCGGTCACTCAGCTTTTATCCCAGAACCTTCGAGTCGAGAGGATCGGAGACTCAGGTTTCGCGAAACCATCCCCCTTGCGATTTTTAACATAGTTATATTTATATTTTATATATTATATACTATAAAATACTATAAAAAATATATATATATTAAAATACCACAAAATATATACTATAAAATACTTGTATTTGTAATAAATATAAGTATTTAGAAATATTTTATGACAGAAATAATAATTAAATTACTATAAAATACTATAAAATATTTATATATAGTATTATATATATATATATATTAAAATATCACAAAATATATACTATAAAATACTTATATTTGTAATAAATATAAGTATTTAGAAATGAATATATATTTAATAAATATTTTATAACAGAAATAAGAATTTCTGCTTCTGATGCTACTGGTTCTATTTTTTTCGCAAAAATATTTTATGTAAAAATAGTTTAAAGTTTATGAGAAATTTGGAACTACAGAAACGAAGAAATTACACAATATAGAAATATATATATATATTGAAGAATATATATATATATTGTATTGTAATATAATTATATTATATTGTATTATATATAATGTATAACTATTGTATTTTGTACATTTTATATTATGTGAAATACAATAATTATAATATTTAATAAGCTTTTTCTCAAGGAAAAATCAACAGTCCTGATGTAAAATATTTGAAATATTCTCAATCATTTTAAAGTAAATATAGGAATAATTAGAAAGAAACGTCGCAGCTCCTGTTGGACGAATTGTAAATGAGAAAATTCCACTCTGGCGTTAAACAGGAAATTCAAATAGGATAGTCGATATTTGCGCTAACGAACGAGAACCGATATCTTCGAGAGAAACTAAATAGGTCGCCCATTATAATTTCCGTCTATATTGATACCTTCGCTCGATATCGTTTAAACTTGATCATTTGGCTCCTCGAGTGAACAATTAATAGAAAGTTTTAAGATAGCTCTGTAACACCACTTGAATCTCAAACGAAACGAATCACGGCGAGAAAGGAAGATACGCGCGATCGATAAAAGAAAAAAAAAAAAAAATTGTGCGTTACTTTAAATTTTTATAACTTTGTAGAAAAAAGAATGTTACAGCAAATTTTAAGGGACTGTCGTAAAAGGAAGACGTCAATTTTCAAGATTAAAATTTGGTTACGGAAAAGGAATGTTTTTAGTGTCCATAAAGATGCTTGAATTTGCAAAATTTTTAAGAGAAAAAACACTTTTCATCTTACTTCTTTTGAGATAAAAAAAAAAACTGCGAATGTAAAGCTTTCATACTTTAAAATAAACTTGGGTGAATTGTTCTACGAGTTTTCATTAGTGAACTTATAATAATTTAAAATATCAACTATCTTCAAAGTCGATGATTATGAGGATAGCCGATATTTTAAATTATTATAAGTTCATTAAAAAAATTGTCGACGTTCTAAAATACCATAACTTCGTAAGGAAAAGAAAAGAAGGAAATTATAGAACAATCCACCTGGTCTCGTTTCAAATTACAAAAGCAATCTCTGCTTTTATAATACTGAGTTTTCTTTCGGAAATATTTTTCCACCGTTCTGGCGGAAGATATTTTGCAAATCTCGAGAATGTTGCAAACTCAAACATCTCTCTGAAAGATATAAAAAGTTGTTTTCACAAATCCATGACGATCTTGAAGCTCGAAATCTCCTCTTTGCAGTCCCTTCGTTATACAATTGAAATTCAATTCAAAATACAGTTACAATAAAAAAGAAAACAAAAGACACAAAATTATAATAAAATTCACTGTACAATTTCTTTTCAGAAAAGTTGTAAAATTTAAAATATCATTGAATGTACATATTTATTATTACTATACTTTAGAATTTCAAAAATTCACTCTCACAGTCTTCAACATACGTAATTACACAGATTCAGGCACCGCCGTTGAATTCATCGTTTTTTTGAAAACTAAATACTGTGTCTCGAATGTTACGCATTTCTAATTCCAGCCAATCTCGCGCAGTGTATATCTCCATAAATATCGATAACAAATTACCCACCGAAGGCTGAATTTAAAACAGTAATCCCAAACCATTGTTCAGTTTCTTTCATTTCGTTTCAAATGTGTCTATTTCCATCTGTTACTTATATTCAACGCTCCACCGCGATGCTATGTGTGTTTCGCGGAATAACAAATGAGGATCGTTATTGTAAGGCGAACGCGATGGTTAATAATTTATCACCGATGCCTTGCAGAGGACTTGTCTGCGAATGCTATTCAGCTCGTGCAATTAATCTTGCATTAAGCAGAATGTGGCAGGCTGGTGCAATGAAAACTGAGCGATGTTTAGACATTTCGGAATTTATGGCGTAGACAACAGCGAAGAGAAAAATCCTGATGAATTGAAAAACAGAGATTTCAGTGTTGGCCAGCGATCAATTAATACATACATACATACTTTGTGATGGTTTCTGTAATCAGTTGCTAAATGTAATCGTAGTCGTCGTAATCAATCATCGTTCGAGATAAATCGGTAATCTTGATTAACTTTTGTCGTTCGTTAATAATTGTTCAATCGTTGGTCAGTAATTTTTTAATTATTAACGTGGTTTCTAAATTGTTCGTTAATTTAGTTGTTTATTTTAATTATTAACGTAGTTTTTTAATTGTTTAATTATTAACGTAGCTGTTTAATTAACTTATAAGGTAATTTTTTTCAATTATTAACTATTACAATCTTGATTCGTTGGTCAGTAATTTTTTAATTATTAACGTGGTTTCTAAATTGATTATTAATTTAGTTGTTCAGTTGTTTATTTTAATTGTTAACGTAACTTTTTAATTGTTTATTAATTTAGTTGTTTATTTTAATTATTAACGTAGTTTTTTAACTATTAATTATTAATGTAACTTTTTAATTATCAACTTATAAAGTAATTTCTTCAATTATTAATTATTACATCGGTAATCTTGATTAACTTTCGTCATTTGCCAGTAATTGTTCAATCGTTGGTCAGTAATTTTTTTAATTATTAACGTAGTTTTTAAACTATTAATTATTAATGTAGCTTTTTAATTATTAACTTATCAAGTAATTTTTTCAACTATTAATTATTACATCTCGTAACGTGTCTTGTCTCTTCACATTACCTATTAAGCGTGTTAATCACGCTTAGGGTTATGCTATATTCGATGTAACTAAATGTTATTATTGGAAACAGCTGCAGTTTAAGCAATAGACCACTACTAGAGAGAACATCTACGTTTCTATTGCTGTACAATCGTTGAATTTATTATTGTTAAAGTTTGTTCATTTTCACGTTTAATGAACTTCTTTAAACAGGAAATTCAAATAGGATAGTCGATATTTACGCTAACGAACGAAAATCGATATAAATATCAACTCTGTTTCCAATAATTTGTTAGATACAAAAATAACGTGCATAATAACAATTTCCAATAATGAGTTTTACGATAATAATACGAAAATATAAAATAATAAATAATATAAAAATTCGAGTATCGAAACGATATTGACACGTGAGGGTGTTTTCTTTGCAGCTCTGTCATATATTTGAAAAGAATGTAAAATATATTTTTAATGGTTCAAAGACAAGTTTCGTCGGCGCAATATTATTTGACAACATTCCACCATTGAATGCAGAATAAGCAAACTGGCATTACAAGTGTGTCGATCCTTTTTTTTTTTTGACTCTCGAACCTCTACATTTCTTGTGTCGTTGTTGTACGACTCGTTGCTGAAAATTGCTATCGTACACATTACTTTTTGCATATTGTGAACTATTTTTATGGAAAAAATTTTCGCTAATACATTATTTATTTTCATAAAGACATCGTCGAGAAACTAAATACCTTTTTCACTCACTGCGCATTTTCGTACGGAATACAAGTTGTTTAAACACAACTGAACACATTCATGATTACTGAAAGGCAGTTCTGACGGCTTCGTGTTGGAGAAGCGAGAGTATCCTCGCGAGACAGCGCGAATTGAAACGAAAATGGCGTTGCACGGCTTACACGGCCAGGAAGTTTTCTGTCTCGTTATCATTGGCTAATGCTCGCCTCTCCGCGTTCCGTTCCGCAGTGCCTTTTACACTCTGAATATTTAACGAGACAGCTTACGTAACCGCCGCGGTGTTTCGAGATTTTTAGAAAACGGCAGAAGACCGTGTCCAACGGCGACACATTCATTTTGCAGCATCGACTAAATGTCACCGTGAACAATTCACTAGGATAGGGAGAAAATCGACAAAAAAATCCTTCCACGCGGCGCGTGAAAAAGCTCTTCTTCCTCTGGTTTGGTATTTTTCGATGAACGCGCCTCCGGTTTTAGAAATATACCACTTCCCCGTGTGTCGAACAATCATTGTTCAAGCTTTATTTTTACGACCAACGAAGAGTAATTTTATATATCCTCGCAGCAATATTAATGACATTAAAGTTTATTTTCAGGGAGGAAAAATTGTTTCAACTCCCGGTACGAATATTGCCGTTCAAATGAAATTATGCGACGAATTTTAAATCACACCTATTTGTCATCTCGCGCGTTCGAATGATATTTTCTTTCACAATATTTGTTTCTCCAACATTCATTATTTTGAATCAAAGTTTTTTAAAATATCGTTAATTTATTCCCGTTTCGTTACTATCGTTCCATCGTTGCAGTCATTTTAAAAAAATGTCTGAATCACGGCTGCGTAATTTGTTGTAATTCTACCGATCGTGCGGATATTTTATTTATTAGTCTGTCATCGTTATCACGTGATTTATATCCGGATTTATTATCATTCGTTGTATTAACATTAATGTTAACGCTTCGTTTCCGAAGCGAACTCTCGAACCTCTACATTTCGAATGTTTCAATTCTGTCTATTAATGCAACGTACGCACGGAAATTTAGCTATAAAATTTAATGGCGTGTCAAAATTGACGTAAAATGTTTTAAATTTACAGTTTGCATATTACAGTTCGTATGACTCATTTATTTGAACGCGGCGGAAGAGATACACGACGTGACGAAAGAGATATCAAAAAATTCGCAATCTTAGACACGGTGAGAAATTGCGACGATGTTATCACAATTTCGCAGTAGAAACGCTGTATAATTATTGAATCATCGCGACGTCGATAAACGTTCGTACGATGTTTTCTGATTGAAACGCGTTAGGACAGTTGTTACGTTCGTTTAAAAACAGGAGAAATGAAATAATGTCTCTATGCAACAAAATACATGCATAAAAATATGAAAATTTATTTGTATTTATTTATATCTAACTGGTATCGTGAAAATTTCGATTTCTTCGAATAATAATAATTGCTTAATTTTGAAATTATTAATTTGACTCAATTTTACCATTAACCTCTGTCAGACGAAATATTAGAGCAAATCGAAAATTAAAATTAAATGTTAGAGTATTGGAGTAAATAGAAAATTAAAATTAAATATTAGAGTATTGGAGTAAATAGAAAATTAAAATTAAATATTAGAGTATTGGAGTAAATAGAAAATTAAATTAAATTAAATTAAATGCAGTAACGAACTTTGTTTACATGAACTTGTCGAGGCATAGGAATAGTAGAACTTGGCTTACATAAACTTGTCAGGGTTTATATAATAATGGAAGTCATATATATAGTCTCTCGTCTATCGATTTTTTTGTTGATGTTCGTAGCATTTATATTACAATATTCATAATATTTCTAATATTCATGTTCAATAGACTTCAGGTTCGAACAAGGGATGGCTTGAGCAAAAGTTCATTTAATTAAATGCAGTTCTACTGTACTTTAATTCTCATTTTGTCTCTCAGTCTTCCAACTTAATTTGCCAAATTAACATAGTTTCTGTTTTACGGTTACCGACCACGATGAAGAGATAAATAGTTAAATTTGTAAATGGGCTAAATTTCTACCCCTAAATTACAACATTGCGTGTAACCTACTCTGAGGTACAAGTATTCAATTTTATATCGTCATCTTCACACATTTTACGTGAAAAGTGTGTCAAATTGGTACACAGCGACGAATGACAATACAATATAAATTACTACAGTCTTCTGCGACCTCGCTTAAGAGTTAAAAATTAAAAAATTTTGAGTGACAGAAATCAATATATTTCACGCTGATCTTCGAAATCATCCTAATTTAATATAACTTCTTGCGCTGGAATAACGTGCCACACACGTCGAAAATATTTTGTCTCAAACTGCAACAGTCTCTCAGTTTTAAGCATATTTAAATGTAATTCAGGCGAAACAAATGGTAAGTTTATTATAATTATTAATATATAATTAATTTTATTTATAGTTTATTAATATCATAATTAAATATTTAACTAATTTTATTTATATTTTATTAATATCATAATTAAATATTTAACTAATTTTATTTACAGTTTATTAATATCATAATTAAATATTTAACTAATTTTATTTATAGTTTATTAATATTATAACTAAATATTTAACTAATTTTATTTACAGTATATTAATATTACAATTATTATACTTGTCAATAATTTCTATATTTGAGCGATATCATACCGACGAGTTCAGAAGGAAAAGAAAGCGACGAATTATTGTACACGATTCGGTCACTCGTTATGGTCCGCAATCAGTTGACAGCGCAAGGGGCTGTCTAACCCAAACCTCAGCGACATATCGGTCACGATATCAGTGAAAAGCAACCGGTCAATAGACAAAACGATCCCGTGTCATCGTAAAATCGACACGAGACGCGAAGAAAAGAAACGGAAAGTTCACTCACCCAATTTGTCATTTTCTGTCGGCGTTCCAAAAGACGTTGCTGCAGCTTCGGCCCAGGCCCGGAAAGGAACGCTTTCACCAAACTTCTGGTCTTGGGCAGATGATTCGGGGCGATCACCTCGACTTGGGCCAAGTATTTCTGCAAGGTTGACTCCAGATCCGGAACCGGAAGAGTCGGTAGCGTGGCTTCCTTCTGCAAAGCGAAATCACCGGAGGGAAATGAACGATCATCGTGATAAAAATCGCCGCTCGAGCTCGATCGAATTCGTGGGAGAAGCGTGAGAGACAAAGCGCGAAGGGGACGTCGGATGAATTTATTCGGTTGGAACGATCACCGGTTCACGGTTAATAATTGATTTACTATCGCCGTGGAGATGACATTTACCGCCACGTTGCTAACGTTCCGACACGACAAATATGAAGAGCCGTGTGCTCGATAAGCCGAAGGACACCACTTATCGAGGATGATCGAGGTCATTCTGTATTGTTTGTCGATAGGAGTATGCAAGTGCACGAAGCATTTTTTTTTCATATCCCTTCGAATATTTTACTAGTTGCTTGTGCTTTCCCGACAACGAAATCATGCCAACAAACGAGATCGCGTGCGTTCCATTTCCCATTTTCATCATTCGTCCAAGTGCATTTGTTACCATTTTCGTTCAAGGATATGACAAGTAAAATACACTCGCCAGTCCGGGTTGTGTCATCAAGTGCGAAAACTCAGCTGGTGATGAGGACAACAAATGTCAATGAAAGCGAAGTGATCGAAATCGATTGATCAAGTTTAGGGATGCAACATGCGTTTCCAGCATGAAATTGGAGCCTTCAAACGCTGTCTTTGTCTTTATATAATTGGAATTGTTGAGTATTATGATGCTTTTTAACTATTGTTGGATTTATCACTGGAATTATAGAAACATTATTATTTTTCTTGATTATTACTGAATTTATCACTAAAATTATAAAAATATTGTAATGCTAATTGTCATTAGATTTATCACTAAAATTGTAGAAATATCGTGATACTTCTTGACTATCATTAGATTTATCACTAGAGTTGTAAAAATATTGTGATGCTTCTTGATTATCATTAGATTTATTACTAAAATTGTAAAAATATTAAATATCTGATACTACTTGACTGTCGTTAGATTTATCAGTGGAATTGTGGAAACATTATTATACTTCTTGACTGTCATTAGCTTTATCACTAGAATTATAGAAATATTATGATGCTTTTTGATTATCGTTAGACTTCTCACTGGAATTATAGAAATATTGTAATGAGACTTTAGACTATTAATCATTGGATGTAAATAGATATTCCTGATTTATTCATACATTTTACCGTATTTATTCATACATTTATTCATACATTTTACATTTTGTTATTGCTCATTCTGCTGCTTTTCTGTTATAAATACATTTATATAACTTACAGACTGTATTAGCAATGTTTGATTGGAAAAAATTGACACACTGTACATAAATAAAATACACTGAGAAGAATATAAAGTGTTTTCGATCCAATGATATAGTCATAAAGGAGAATATACAATACTACAAAAAAAAAAAAAAAAAAAGAAAAGAAAAGAAATAAATCGAGCGTAAAGAATAAAATTGTTTCATTTAAGCCTTCGTTTCTGAAAAAAAAACCGAATGAGAAACCGAGAAAGAAATGAATAACTGACAGAAAATTAAAACAACATGAACATAATTCAACAAAGCATCGTCCAAACAAAATTTCACTTCACACTTTTTTTTTGACTTGTTTTTTCAATAAAAGAATCCTCCTGTCAGGCTTAGAAATTGGCAGGATTCAAGCATACTTGACAGACTTCGTCAGAATAAAATCTTGAACGAAAATTAAAAGAAAAAGAAAAAAGAAAAACAGAATTTCACTCCTTACTTTCGACTTCAATCTAGAATCATAGAATCTCGTCGAAGTTGTACTATCGGATCGAGGTACACCCTGTACACGTTTCAAAACGCGATCGAACACGAAATTCAATTGAAGTCGGGCAAACGTTAGCGGAGGCAAAGTGGATCGATCGATCGGGGGTTCAACAAGTTCAGGGGTGCATCGTGCGCACACAGAGAGAGAGAGAGCCTTCGAACGCTGGATTCGTTGGCCTTTACGATGTCACGGCGATTGTAAAATAAAGAATCAATCGAGAAACGAAGCGTGTCTACGGTAGTAAGGGCCCTTAAGGCCGGCACGGTTCGTTGATCAGAATCCCCTTTTGCCTCGGCCTAACAAGACCGAGTCCGCCAACCGAACGCAACTCGACCCTTCCTTGCTCGTTGCGAAAATGTTTCCGGCAAGCGGAGCCAGGAGAAACAGCCACGAGCTACAGCTCGTTCGGTAATAGTCTCCTTCGGTCCTCATTCTCTCTCTTTCCCTCTCTTTCTCGCCGCCTGTTCGATTGTTTAGTTTCATTAACCAACCGCGCCTCGACCTGCTGCTCGGCTTGTGGAATCAACATTTGCGCGTGGCCAGCAACGAGGAAGCGGAATGGCATGGTGATTTATGTGACAACCGGGCGTGTTGAGTGACACGCTTTCTTCCCGCGTGTTTCCCGTCCGGTGTGCACGCGGCCGCATCATTGAACGCGTAACAACGCGTGCAATCTGCAAACGTGATCTGCGTAACTCTCCTGCAAAGTTAAACAGCTAAAAACTCTAGTGTCGCAGACAGTCTTTCCTCTCGTTGCTGTACGTCCTTTTCTTCGCAATTGAAACATTGACGAACCATCTCCCTCGACTTCTTTAAAAATTTAGAACGCCTGACAACAGCTACCAGCTAACAGCCACAATTGGCAATTAATTCTCTTTCTCTTGTAAGTGAACGAAATTTTAATCTTTATTAATTAATTATTTTACTAATTAATTTTTATTAGCTATTTCGTTAATTTTGTTTATCTTGTAGGTGAGCGAAATTCTAATTTTTGTTAATTGATTATTTTACTAATTAATTTTTATTAACTATTTTATTAATTCTGTTTATCCTGTAAGTGAGCGAAATTCTAATTTTTATTAATCCTGTTTATCTTGTAAGTGAGCGAAATTCTAATTTTTATTAATTCTGTTTATCTTGTAAGTGAGCGAAATTCTAATTTCTATTAATTAATTTTTTTACTAATTAATTTTTATTAGCTATTTCGTTAATTTTATTTATCTTGTAAGTGAGCGAAATTCTAATTTTTATTAATCCTGTTTATCTTGTAAGTGAGCGAAATTCTAATTTTTATTAATTCTGTTTATCTTGTAAGTGAGCGAAATTCTAATTTCTATTAATTAATTATTTTGTCAATTAATTTTTATTAACTATTTTATTAATTAATATCAATTAATTCTCTTTCTCTTCTAAATGAGCGAAATTCTAATCTTTATTGATTAATTATTTTACTAATTAATTTTTATTAACTATTTTATTAATTCATATTAATTGATTCTTTTTCTCTTGTAAGTGAGCGAAATTCTAATTTCTCTGAAAATAAAATGCAGAATCAAACGAAGTTGCACGCGAGTTTCTCGGAAACTGATCGATTCCACACTTGCGCGCATTTCTCAGTTTCGTTACTCACGTATTACACAATTGACGTTGAATTTTCCCAAGAACGAATTATTTTTCGCAAGAGGCTGCTAGAAATAAACAGTAAATTCCAAGGTAAACTTCTTAACAAGTTAAGCCAATTTATGGATCTGATCAATATGCCTTCATCGTTTACACAAAATTGATGAAGGTTACTTTGTTTCCGATATCTATTTTCTACTACTCTTACGTTCTGTACACACCACACATGGAACACAACATCAAATAAACGTGAATCACTTGAAATACAAGATAAAGTCGCGATCAAATTTATTTGTCTATCGATACCTGCTATCTTTCGACAAATGCTCTCACGTTCCATCGAACAAACGTCACTTAAAACACACACAGCGTGGCTCGGCTCAAACGTCAAGCTGTTTATTGTATTTACATTCGAACGACGTCGCGACGACCGAGATCCGCGTGAATTGGGAAACGAGCGTCGCGTACGTTATTCCATTCACGAAACGAATCCGGAGAATGCTCGTAACGAGTTCGATTATCCCGGCTGGCATGAGTCAGTTTTGTCCCGAAGCCCGTTGCGCCCCTGAGGGAGGCCAGCCAAGCCCGTTCGTTTCGTGAACGAGCCTCGGAACGTAACGGGTGTCTAGATTCCCAGGAGGTTTTCCACCCCCTTTTTCAAGGCTCATTGCTATGCACCGCTCGGAACTCTTGCTAACGACCTTTGCACGCCGAGAGCCCTAACATCCAGCCGACTTCCCGATCCGAAACAGCTTATCGAGCCGCGTGGATTGCGTGGATTTGAAATATTCGATACCGTAGATCTGGTTCGTAGACACCGAGGGCTTCCAAAACACGACTTAAATCTCCGTTAAGAAAAAAAGAAAAAAAAAAAAGAGAGGAAAGAAAGGGAGAGAGAAATGAAAACGAAGGTTTTCGAAGCTCGTCTGGGTTCGTGATTTGGTAGAGGGATGTTGGAGAAATTGGCGAAGACAATTTTTTCAATTTTTAATCGGTAAAGAAACAAGGAAAGAGGAAACGAGGAAACAACACGGTGACATGTGTTTTTTTTTAAATAATTCATTTCAATAACATTATGTATGTCTTTTTTTATAATGTTATCGTGCATGGATAATTTAGATTTTTTGAGAATATTATTTATTAATAATATTTATTTATATTTATATTTATTTTACATTTTTATATATTATTTATATTTATATTTATTTTATATTTTTATATATTATTTATATTTATATTTATTTATATTTATATTTATTTTATATTTTTATATATTATTTATATTTATATTTATTTTATATTTTTATATATTATTTATATTTATATTTATTTTATATTTTTATATTATTTATTTATATATATATATTTTTAATGATGTTATATCGTGTATGCATAATTTAGATTTTTTGAGAATATCTAAAGAATGATTGTTCGAGTCGATCAATTTTTTTACGATAGATAATGTTGTTCGACTGTTTTTGATCGAAATCCTCATTTTCTAACTTTTCACGCTTAATTGAGTTTTTTTTATGATTTTTTTCTTTTTTTTTATCTGTGTCAGGACTATGTATTATTAAATGACCGAGGAGATAAAAGAGGAAACGAAGATTGATCAGAGAATCAGCTTCTCAGAGCATAAGTTATAATTGGCTTCGGTTGAAAGGTGAAATGTCACGACTGCGGTTTTTTATGGAAATTTATATTAAAAAATAGAACCTCTGCAGACGCTTATGTTACTCTTTAAATGTCGTAAAAAAAAAAGAAAAACACTTTTAATACCTTATATATTTTTTGATATTGTCTGCATTCTGCATTGCACTCTGAAATTTATACATAAAATATAAAATAATACATTTTATACATAAAATACATAAAAGAGTCTCTAGTGACATAATACCAAT